TTAACAATTCACATCTCCCCTCATCAGGTATGAAATTCATGTAAATGTATATGCGTTCCTAATATGTTGAAGTTATGAGAAATGCAAATGTTATCCTTTAAAGGGTGAATATGTGGTTGTTTCGGATGTTTAAAAGTTTGTATCGAGTCCAGTCTGTGCACCGCGTGTGCTAATCACACATTCTATGCTAATGATGGAGACAACGTGTTCTCGTAGTCAGTGACTACGATGTAATGTATTTGAGCGAAATATAAATATAACATATTTGTGAGAAATGTGACAAAAATGGTTTATCAGTTACAAATGTGTGTTCTAAAAGTGAAAGAGTTGATTAAATGGAGTTTCACATACTTTCCTGTATCTAAAATCCTGAAATGGCATCCTGAAGAGCTAATAAGTTAGAATATGTACATCAAAGCGATTGTAACAGTTCATTAAGTGATGTTCACATTATGTGAGTATATAAAATGCATATATAAGATGATTATTGTTCTAAAATGTTACTGTTATGAGTTCTCTGAAATCTAAAAGAAATACTAAAATATATTAAATGGGTAAAAAGGGTGTATTAAGTGTTGGAATACCTGTACAATTCATGTTTGAAAGAACAATATAAAGGAAAGTACCATGCACGTTACCTGTTAAAAATGTATTTCATGTAGCTGCAACGCTCTCATGTCACTCATGTTTCAGCAATGTTGAATTGAAAAAACTTGATAAAATGTGTTGCAATGCTTTTAATGGTGCTCAAAGAAAATACAGAGATTCTGATGGTGAAGCAACAGCTTCGTGTCCTGTGTTTTATTAACAATTCACATCTCCCCTCATCAGGTGGTGAGGGCGCTACACCGCCGCCATGTCGTGAAGACACTGTGTGATTCGTTGTGAAAGCGAAACTACTTTGTTTGGATAACGATTGAAAGATAACGATATCTGCTCCATCATGCCTGGAGCTGATCCGTGCTGGTTGCTGAGGAAATACTACAACTTTGTGCTGTGGATCGCCGGATTTCAGAAAGGCGGGGCATAGAGGAGAAACAATAATGTACAGTATGTGGAAAATAATGTGTTTTTTGAACCTTAAACCACATAAACACATTTCATTACACCAAATACACAAAATAATGTTCTTTTTAGCAGCATCATATGACCCCTTTAAGACATGAACTGTTTTATGTCTTGATTAAAACAACAATGTGCTGCAATAAAATATATGCCTGGAATAAATATATTTATCTCTTAAAAAGTTTGAAACAAGATACCCTAAAGCAAATGGAATATTTATAATTTACAGGAGTTCACTGAATAAAATTGTGGACACTAGGTTTGAGCTATAAAAAGCTACACGAAAACAACTGTGATTAACTTAATGAGCTTAAAGTCTTGAGACTGTGTGTTTCATTTGCTCTAAGGTGACATATGTGCATGCTTAGACAAAACAGCATTAGACAAAATGTTAGACAATGCTTGCTTCAAAAGAAATACAATCACTTTAGATCATTGGTGGAATATATATATATATATATATATATATATATATTCATATTTTAACTGAAAGAGAAGAGACTCCTTTGGCACTGCACATTTGTTTTTCCTAAAAGTGCTTCTAAGGTGATTTCCTAGGATACATAAAGAGAGTCAAATACAGCTGTGTGTCTGGTTATTAGAGTCTTCTGAAAATGGCAAGTGCAGCTGGTGATTCTAAACCATCCTGCCGTCATATGAAGTGGTCTGCCTTCTTGTCTTTGTTGGACTGTGTTTTTGCAAAATCGTGGTGAACTGCGATTGCTCTGAAATGGGCTGCTCTCCTTCACGTGGAAACGGTCTATGGAATTATTTTTGTGTCTTTATTATTCAATCAAACATTCCGTGTTTGAGAGTAAAGCTAATTATTTTGTAATTAAAAAATAAAAGATTGCAAAAAAAAAGTCTTCTTAAGGCTCAAAAATAAAGAAATTGAAAACAAAATTATTTGCAGTGCGTATAATTCTTTGAAAATCGTTATTTTTCTTTGTGCACTTCAAACACTTTTCATCGCGAAACCACAAATGTGGCTCTCTTTTCTGCCGTCTTTTTTTGCGGGTCTAAAACTTTTGTTTGCGAGTTGAAAAGTTTTGCTTGTGAGTGAAGCTGTGTCTCAGTGGGTGGTCTCTATCCACCAGGATGAAAGGCCTTTTTCTATTGGTCACTCTCGATTGAAGTCACAGGTTGACCACGCCCACTACGTTTCCCCGGAATCCCCGCTACTGCCGCTGCAGTCTGACAGAAGAGCGAGCGAAGTTGTATCATGGCGAGCAACAGGTCGTTTACTGGGTAAGATAACTAATTTAACATCTTAAACTCAGTGACAAGTGAACTTAATTATTCTCTCCTCTCATGCTCTCCATGCATTTTTATTATTTTAAACTAAGCCCGTTGTAGATTTGATTAGCCAACAGTATAGCTAGCTGCCAGAGCCCCCAATAGTAAAGCGTCAAGTCAATATTTTCAGAGATTATAGATTTCTATAGCTCCAGTGAAGTAAGGTAAGTAACGCACATCAAATCACTAGCCCATTTGGCGGGTTATGATTGATATTCAGGACTTGTCGTACCACTGTAGCCTTGCAGAAACTTTGCTTTGAAAACCTTTTAATGAACTAACTTCCACATTTCAATATGCCCCTGACTTCTAAGGGGTGTTTTTATTTGTGACTACTCCCTACAGCCTAGAATTCTATCAGTAGAACATTACATTTTTCTTTTCTGTTTGCAGGAAGAAGATTTGGGGTTGATAGAGGTAATTTCTTTAAGGCAAAACCTTAGACCTGATGCAACATCATCCCATGTTGCAATCACCCTCAGGAGGTACACAAACAAAAGCTAAATTGAACATTGTCAATTATCAACTCCTATTTTACAAAATTTGCCCTGCATACATTTTTGTCTTCAATGTGTAGGCACTTGAAGCCCAGTGCCCAATATGCACAGGAACATTTCCAGTGTCAGAAGTAGAACTGCCATGCCAGCTTTTGTGGAGAAAGGTAATGGTAATAGTGACTCACACTGAAGCTTAAAAAAAAAGAAGCTTAAAAAACATCTAAAAGGGAGACTTAAGACTGGAGTAATGATGCTGAACATTTTTCTTGATTGTTTTTAGCTTTATATACATATAATTTTATTAATTTATTTTTACAGGCTCTCCAAGGAAGGTGATTTTCAAGGGATTGACAGGGCTTTCTGTTTCTTGAAATTTCCACAACTTTAGACGTGCTATCTCGTGACAGATTTCTTTGTGGTGTTTATCTGTGCTGCTGCATGACGAATCACATCCTCCTCACTGTCCCAAATTTTCATTATCATTAACAAGGTGGCCTACATAAAGTATTTGCAGAAATCTGAATCTTTACATTAGTTTTTTCTTACCTAGTCAAAATAGTAATACAGGAAAAAAGGGGGGAAAAAAGCTCACTAAGCATCCATCTAATTGGTTTTTTTTTTTTTTCAGGATTCTTTGACGAATAGAATGTTCAAACAAACAGCATTTATCTGAAATAGAAAGATTTTGTAATAATATACACTACTGTTCAAAAGTTTTAATAAAAAGGAAATAAATTAATACTTTTATTCAGCAAGGATGCATTAAATTGATCAAAAGTGATAAATCTATTTATACTGTTATAAACAATTTTTACTTCAGATAAATTTATATTCATCAAATAATCCAAATTTTTTTCAACATTGACAATAATAAATGTTTTTTGAGCAACAAATCAGCATATTAGAATGATTTCTGAATGATCATGTGACACTGAAGACTGGAGAAATGATGCTGAAAATTCAGCTTTGATCACAGAAATAAATTAAATTTTTAACGTATTCAAATAGAAAACAGTTATGGTAATAATATTTCACAATAATACTGTTTACTGTATATTTTATCAACTTAATGCAGCTTTGATAAGCAGAAGAGACTTGTGTCAAAAAACATAAAAAAACCTTAATGTTTCCAAACAACTTTGTGTGTGTATAAATGTATATATTCATTTCGTATGATCTTTTTATGACCTTTGCAATGTACTGTTTTGAACCAATGTAATGAACATAGTCAGGTAGGTTGCCATGAGATATGATCCAAATCAGAGCACCTTTTAGGTGTTTTTTAAGCTTCAATGTGTCACTATTACCATTACCTTCCTCCACAAAAGCTGATATGGCAGTTCTACTTCTGACACTGGAAATGTTTCTGTGCATATTGTACACTGGGCTTCAAGTGTCCTACACATTAAAGACAAAATGTATGCAGGGCAAATTTTGTAAAATAGGAGTTGATAATTGACAATGTTCAATTTAGCTTTTGTTTGTGTACCTCCTGAGGGTGATTGCAACATGGGATGATGTTGCATCAGGTCTAAGGTTTTGCCTTAAAGAAGTTACCTCTATCAACACCAAATCTTCTTCCTGCAAACAGAAAAGAAAAATGTAATGTTCTACAGATAGAATTCTAGGCTGTAGGGAGTAGTCACAAATAAAAACACCCCTTAGAAGTCAGGGGCATATTGAAATGGGGAAGATAGTTCATTAAATTGTCTTCAAAGCAGAGTTTCTGCAAGGCTACAGTGGTACGACAAGTCCTGAATATCAATCGTTACTACTGAAGTAATACGTTTAGCAATTGTCATTGCACAGGTCTTAAATATAGTACAAAACAAACCTGTTATTAAAATGCACAATACACAGTCTTGTAGACTAGGGTGAAGTCAGAATGTACAGACATCGGTCCCAAATCGTTGTATTTTAGAAAACTTTGAATGGCAAACTACAGCTGTTGCGTGCCACAAATAGACTTGAGTGTGCATACGGTCATAATTTATGAATCATAACCCGCCAAATGGGCTAGTGATTTGATGTGCGTTACTCACCTTACTTCACTGGAGCTATAGAAATCTATAATCTCTGAAAATATTGGCCTGACGCTTTACTATTGGGGGCTCTGGCAGCTAGCTATACTGTTGGCTAATCAAATCTACAACGGGCTTAGCTAACATTACGTATTTAGATGGGAGAGCATGAGAGGAGAGAATAATTAAGTTCACTTGTCACTGAGTTTAAGATGTTAAGTTAGTTATCTTACCCAGTAAACGACCTGTTGCTCGCCACGATACAACCTCGCTCGCTCTTCTGAAAACGTAGTGGGCGTGGTCAACCTGTGACTTCAATCGAGAGTGACCAATAGAAAAAGGCCTTTCATCCTGGTGGGTAGAGACCGGCCACTGAGACACAGCTTCACTCACAAGCAAAACTTTTCAACTCACAAACAAAAGTTTTAGACCCGCAAAAAAAGACGGCAGAAAAGAAAGCCACATTTGTGGTTTCGCGATGAAAAGTGTTTGAAGTGCACAAAGAAAAATAAAGATTTTCAAAGATTTATACGCACTGCACATCATTTTGTTTTCAATTTCTTTATTTTGGAGCCTTAAGAAGACTTTTTTTTTGCAATCTTTTATTTTTTAATTACAAAATAATTAGCTTTACTCTCAAACACAGAATGTTTGATTGAATAATAAAGACAAAAATAATTCCATAACGGTCTCCATTCAGCACAGGGTGCATTCAGAAGAGGGAGAACTCTACTTCCAGGGACTCACTAGAGACTTGGAGAATCACAATCTGATGATGGGAGCAGTGGAGAATGCTGTGGACAGGACACACAGAGAGAGAACTTAGGGTTAGTTCACCCAAAAATGAAAATTATGTCATTAATTACTCACCCTCATGTCGTTCCACACCCCTAAGACCTTCGTTCATCTTCAGAACACAAATTAAGATATTTTTGATCAAATCTGATGGCTCAGAGAGGCCTCCATTGACAGCAACGCCACCCAAACTCTCAAGATCCATAAAGGTACTAAAGACTTTGTTAAAACAGTCGACGTGACTACAGTGGTTCTACAATAATGTTATGAAGCGACAAGAATACTTTTTGTGTGCAAAAACAAAACAAAAATAACGACTTTATTCAACAACCTCTTCTCTTCTGTGTCATTCTCATACGTTGTTTACGTCCAGTGCTTCCAGGTTCTACGTCAGAACTCCGACTCATTGGACGGCTCCTGCATCAGCATCAAACGCATGCGTCGCGCTGCTCACATGTGGAGCTTTGGCCAATAATGAGCCGGTGTTCGGACGTAGAACACGGAAGCCTTCACTGTGCTTACTGCATTAACCCGCGTAAGGATAATGACAGGGAAGAGAAGAGATTGCTGAATAAAGTTATTCATTTTGTTTTGTTTTTACGCACAAAAAGTATTCTCGTCACTTCATAAAATTATTGTAGAACCACTGGTAGTCACATCGACTGTTTTAACAACGTCTTTAGTACCTTTATGGATCTTGAAATTTTGGGTGGCGTTGCCGTCAATGGAGGCCTCTCTGAGATTTGATCAAAAATATCTTAATTTGTGTTCTGAAGATGAACGAAGGTCTAAGGGGTGTGGAATGACATGAGGGTGAGTAATTAATTACAGAATTTTCATTTTTGGGTGAACTAACCCTTTAACGGTTCAGAACAACACAACTCCCATGTCGTTAGGGAGGAAATTCTCTATGGCTGAGCCTGAAGGGGCTGCTTCTGCCAAACTGGGTACACAAGAGATTATAATATGATATATTATCTCAAGGGAAGGAACGACAAGAAGAAAAACGAGAGGCTTGTGAGAAAAAAGGGTGCAAAGAAGTCAAAGAAATGTCCTAAAGGTATCAAACTAAACAGGAAGAAAGAATACTTTTTAATAAAGAAAAAGTAGACTCTCCAGAGACACTTGTGAAAGCTCATCAAGCAGCATATGCATATCTTAACCCCAGCATCAGTAAATATGAAGATCTCTTGGGGTTACTTGATCATGCAGCCCAAACCAAAATTTCCTTGCAACCCATGGTGGCATTCATGGTCTTACACTATGAGGAAATAAACAAAGGGCTGCACAAAATAGTGGAAGAGGGGGAGATTATGTTAAAAGGTAATGGAGAGCATCTGGCTTGGCCTTGCAAAAAAAAAGAATTCCTCTTCACCCAACTCAGCAAAACATGTGACCTCTCCCACCTGCAGTGAGCCCCCACCAGACCTACTACAACAACTCCTTCAGTACACTGTACAGAGGATGCGTCAGGTAGGTCAATCAGTGTGTGGAATTGGGGATACTGCGCTTGAGGAGACAGTGGATTACTTTTCCTCCATTACTGAAATTCTAGATGAGAAGATCAGGACAAAACGTGCATCAGAATCTAGATTAATGCGGCTGCTGTCTCAGATTGAGGCAGCATCACAGAAAAAACCTGGCCCAGAAGACTCTGCTATATTTCGTGAAGACAGTGGACTTGGGACAGAAAGCGAGTCTCTGGCAGGTTCAGACAGACAACGTCAACAGAGAGAAAGTTCTGAGTCAACTGGGACTATTTATACTACATCAGGTAGCCCTTGCGGTTCTACATCAGTTCACCAAGGCTCATACAGAGGCAGACTTCTCAAAACAATAAGACAAAGTAGCTCTCTTAACTGTATAGACTCAACTTGCACTATTACAGAAAAAGAAAAGAGGGATACAGAATAATTACTTGGCTCTGTCTCCTTGGATGAAGGTGGCGGGGATAATGTGGAGGATGGTAGTGAAGAGGAAAAATGCAAGGATAAAAGAAGCAAACAAACAGATTATTTTATTCCAGACCATAGGCAACCACGTAGTTTACCAGCAAAGCAAACAGAGAATCCACAAAATGTTGAAATGACATAAAAGCTAAAAGATGCCATTAGTGGCTGGATTCATTTTTTGCCATCCCAAGGCCCAGGATAAAAAGCAAAACAGGCAGAAAACCCAAACAGCAGTAGTCAATGGACTGAGGATGGTGACAAAAGTTATAAAAGACCCCAAACGGTTGCCTCTAGAACATCTAAGAAAAAGACCACAGTTACTAAACGGTCGAGATCAGCAGACTCTATGCATAATAAAACAGAATACCCTACACTCATTGAACTTGAGAGAACTCAAAAGGAACTCAACCAAAGACTAGAGAGAATGACCAAGGTTAAGTGTGAGGGAAATACAAAGCCAGGCTCATCTAAAAAAATCCAGCATCCGCAAACACATACAGTTTCATCAATTGCCGCTGACAGGCAGCGTTCTTTGAATAGGAAAATTTTTTCTCCAAGTAATCAAAGAAAGGCATGCAATGTGAAAGTGGAGCAAGAAAGTGCAAAGGAAGAGATGGAAGAAAAAAGAAAAAGGACAAAGAAAAGGGAAAGGAAAAAGACAAGAAAAGTCGTCTCAGGTTATGTTTGTAACCATGGTTCCTCTGCATCGGAGAATGCTTTGGGAACGCCTTCTGTGACCACGCTCTGAATCACATGTGAAATCAGTCCAATAGCTGGGCGAGACGACATGGGCGGGTGACGTCATGACCAGGAAGCTATAAAAGCATGTGCGGCGGAGCCGGCGTCAGCTTCAGGAATGAAGCAAGCGCTGGCCGGGATGCCGGAAGTAAGGCACCGAGACGCAGCGTCTCGTTCCCTCGAGGAACCATGGTTACATACGTAACCTGAGACGTTCCTCTTCAGGAACTCGAGCTGCGTCGGAGAACGCTTTGGGAATGAGAATGCCCACGCCGCCATACTTTCAAATCTCTGCCTAGTGTGGAAACCTGCACAGCTAGGGCGAGAGAACAGAAGAGCCAGGAGTGGCTTGCATATCTAGATCGTAGATCAGCGTTGCAGATGTCCTGCATAGACACACCTGCTAAAAAGGCCTTGGAGGCTGCCACACTTCGAGTGGAGTGAGCCTTGACCCCTAGCTGTGAAAGGAAATCAGAGGACTCATAAGAGATAGAGATGGCATCCAATATCCACCGGCTGAGGGTCTGTTTCGTAGCTGGAAGACCTCTCTTAGGGGGACCGTAGCAAACAAGCAGTTTGCTTGCACTGGACACATACAATTAAGCTTCCGCTGGTCTGGCTCCCTGAAGGGAGGAGGACTGAAGGCCTGGAGTACAATAGGCTGCGGTGCAGATGAGGGGACTTTAGGGACATACCCCACTCAAGGGTACAGAAACGCTTTGGCCAGACTGGGCGCAAAGTCAAGATAGGAAGGGGCCACTGAGGTGGCGATCAGAAATCTCCTCAATTGGCTCGAACGGAGGCTTACAGAGAGCTTCTAGCACCACGGCGAGGTCCCACATGGGAACGCGAGATCGTACGAGAGGCCTCAGCCTCAGCGCACTACGGAGGAAACGTGTAACCAGGGGGTGTCTCCCCACTGACTGGCCACCGAGAGGGGCGTGGTAGGCCGCAATGGCCGCCACGTAGACCTTCAGGGTGGAGTGGGTCAACCCTGTAGAGAAACGGGCTGGCAGGAACTCCAGTACTGTACCAACTGGGCAGTTAGCTGGGTCGAACTGGCAGTCTCTACACCAGGAAGTA